AGGCTAAAGGGTGACAAAAGGCAGGAAAAAAAACTGCAGACAGCAAAGCCCGTTGCTCCTGCATCAGCTCTCCTTCCTAGGTCTTTATACACCGTTATATGCCTGTCACAGAAACAACAGGAGGCAAGGACTCCAAGACGGGAGGCGGGGATGAGCTGTTCAGAGTAGAACAGAGGCCAACTACAAAGTCTTCCGTCCTTTGCTGTCTATTGACCTCTACTGTGGTCTACACTCAGTATGTCCGTGTTCCTGCTAAGGCGAAACTTTGATGCCACGGTCCGGCCATAAAACACACAAACTCCCCAGGTGCCTGAACGGCTGCAGATAGCTGTATTTCAGCAATAGGGCTCTGTGGGTTCCTGGATTTCGGTAAACGGTCTTTCTAGACCTGCCAACCCTTGCGGCCGGGCTAAAGAGCTCCATCGCTATTTCATGCCTAAAACCACTCGGATTTGAATTTTTTTCCCCGGACATATATGGCCTGGTTGAATTTCCTATGAACTAAGGTTTATTTAAATTTTAATAAACCATTTATTTTACAGTATTTTCCCTGGGATTTGCAGCAGATTCTGAAGTGTCAATTAGCTTGACAATAAAGACCTTTAAAAAATAAAATACAGCTTTATTTAAAGAGTAGATAATCATTTAAATGATAAATGAAGTGGAACTAAGATTATTCCCCGTATTTTCACTAGTAGAACAGCTGAGAATTAATTGGATCTGTTTCTCTTCAAATTGATGGAGGGAGTTCTAAAATATCCTGCCTTAAGTCTCCATTAAACAGTTTCAGATGTATTCAGTGGAGCCAGGCACTGTAATTTCTAGCCTGCAGAGTTCCACAAGTATTCTGGGTCCCACTAAATACTGGAAAGATGTAGATTTTTTTCTTCTTGGAATTACCTTTGATAATGAGGCTGGCTTTGTTCCCTGAAGATGGCTAATGAAACTAGCAGGAAAAATGTCTGTGTCTCACTCCTCAGAGGTCTCCCCAAACTGTAAGAAAGTGAACAGGTTTTTTTCCTGATTGCTCGTCAGTTGGGCAAGAGCCAGCAGCTGGAAACTGCCGCGACTTACAGCACTGAAATAGGGATCATCCAACGAGAGGCGGAAAATGTTACAGTGACAGTGAGCAGAAAAGAGGTTGATTGAGATTTCAAACTTTTCTAGTCACTGAGAGTTGCAAAGGCCTTTTGGCCCTAATCCAGAAACTACAGAGCTTTCCCAGACGGTTATGTTTCCACAAACAGTCAGTGACAGCCTCATTGAAAGTTGCAGACTTTGAAATATCTAAATGTTAATACAATTTCATTTCAAAATGGCACTGCTTTATGGGATCTAACATTTTAACCTACTGCTCTTTATTTCCCTGTCCCAACAGCAGTGTTCTAGTAGGTCAAACAAAAGCACAAAAATTATGATCTAGGGCTGCAAGTCTACCCTTTTTCCACCTTTTCCACCTTTCTACTTTTGCAACATTCAGCTATTGCCTCATTTGCAGCAAGTTACATAAAATGTTGTAATACTTAGAGATTCTTGTAACAGCCAGGCAGGATTGAGAGCTGTTTTACCTTTGGCTTTTAATTTCTCAGCATATTTCAGTTCAGAGATAGACCCCCTGGAGGAACATTTTCAGTATGCCGTACTGGGAAATACTTTAAGTGTGCACACAATTATAGCTCATTACAACAGTGGGAGTCATTTGCCTGTCTGCTTTCTCAGTCTTCATGTTGAAATGAGACTTCACTGTTATTTTTGGATTGATTAAAAAAAAGGGGGGATTTACGCCAACATTATGTATACTTAGAGGTATGTATGCATCCATGGCATTCTCATATGTACATGCTAAAAATCTAGTGAGAAAACATCAGCATCACATTACACAGTTCCAGCAACCACCTTGTGGCTTCACTTGCTGTATGTCTGCAAGGTGATGTTTTGTTACCTTCACTTATATGCGTTAAACTGCCTTTTATTTTTTCATGAGCCTCTGATTAAACTGGTAGTTTTTTAATCTCTCTGTGATTAAGCACCAAAAGGACAGCAGGGAGTCAATTCTGTTGCCTAAATGCCATTCAGTGCCATTTGAAATGCTCTGGGATACCTGGGGCGTTCAGACGGGGCTGGCAGCCGCAACGTCAGAGAGAGAAATACAGAAGGGCCATTCTGGAATGAGACCTGGACGCCAGAAGGCGTACCCTAGAGCGTCTCAATTGCTCCTACGTACTTACCTGTGCACAACTAGGAGGAGAATCCAGTGAACTTTAAGGTAGTCGTTTACCTTCAGCATTTGCCGTACATGGTGGTTGTTTTGAGTGTCCACTGAGTACTGCCCTGGACCAGCTTTCCAAGATGCTATCCTCAAAGACCAGCTCTACCGAGCTCTGCTGCCCTTCAGTGCTGCTGACCATGATATCCCACCTAAAAGACATCTGAAGGACCTCAGCCGAGCCATTGATGCTGAGTCCTCAAGGTGATGTTCTCCACTCCAAGGCTTCCCCAATCCCCTTTTGAAGACTGTAGGAACCTTCATGTTTGTGCTAGAGATACGTTCACATGCTCATGCGCACGTGGTGGGCTCATCTGGGCGTGGGGACATTACACAGCTGGAGGAGACCACTATTGGCCAAAGTAGCCTTCTGATGACATGTGTGAGTCCCAAACCTGCAAGAAAATGAACTTTTTTTGGAAGTGGGATGAGGCACTGCAGGGAACCTTGGTGCATCCTCACCACTGATGGAGGAGGAAAATACCTCAGCCACCAACTGCAGGATGACCAGGAGAAAAAGGTGGAAAACTTGGCTTTATAGAGGCCGTTGCTGCTTCTTTTGGCCTCTAACAAGCAACCCTGTGTCACTGCATCCCATCGGTGGCCCAATAAGCCACTAGTGCCATTACACTGCGCCTGGTGTTCCTATTGGCTGTTTGTCTTCTGGAGGAGGACAAGTATGCGGAGTAAAGGAAGAAGAAAGGATCAGGATATAAAGTGATAGAAAGTATATAAAGTGATGTAATGAATTAAAATGAGGGGACATCGACGCCTGAGGAGAAGACATCCTGTTGAGGTCTAAGCGCTTCTCCTCCAAGGATTTTCTCAGAGTGGGGAACCCTCCAACAGGTAGACCACACTCGTGTCCCTAGAATATTGAGCAACGCAGCGCGTCATCGCCCCCCAAATGCTGTGCACATGGGGTGCTAGTGGCCCAGATGCCACCTCGTCCCTATGCCCAGATCCTCTGAATGCATCGAGAGGAGGGTCTAACGCCACATTTACTGCCAAAGCGTAAGACATTTGGGGTAGGAGTGCCTCCATGAGACTTTTGAGTGAGCAGAGACCCATTTTTCTTCCCCGAAAACACGGTTTACTGAGAATTTTCTTCCTACATCTTTTCATTAGGATACGTTCACTGGAAGGGCCTCCAAAACAAAGATGACCCAAGTGCTTCTATTACAGCCTTCATTGATAAAAATTATCCTTGATCTCAGGATAACCCAGGAAACACCTGGATTATGATCAGAAAGTGCCTTATTTTAAGCACCGTCTCTATCCCAGTGGAAAGAAAGAAGAAATTAAAAGAAAAACATCGCTTTTATTCTCCCTCAAACCAACGTGGGCTTTCTGAGTGCTGGGAAACTTCTTCCCAAGTTTGCTGAAAGCCTTGGGTTGGATGGCAGTGAGGTCCCACCTGGAGAGCACCTGACTAGACCCAACCCCATGAGTTTGGAGGGGCAAAAAACCACAGCAGAGGGTGAAAATGGCCAACGTTGCCCATTTTTAGTCTTGGGACACATTGGCTGGTCAACAGCATTGTGGGAATTTTGGCGGGGAGGTTTGGGGCATGGAAGGGGAAGGTTGGCTCCTGCTGCAGGACACCTCCAGTCTTAGCTGTCTTTGGACAATGGCATGATGGGAAATTGGGATTTCTTTGGTCTGGTGGGTTATGAGGGGCCACCACTGTCGCTGGGTCTTCTCACTTGGGGCCACCCCATCATAGGGGGCATCTGCTGGGGGGGTTGTCCTGATTTTAAGGCCAGGACCCAAATGCTGGGACAGGCTGGTAGAGGGATGGAGGGAAGGAAGAGAAGGTACATTGACCATAAGACACGTAGAAGACGACCTTCCCTCTGCCCTCCACACTGTCTCAATATGCTCCCACCACCACTCACCCTTCCCCCTCCCCCCAGCATGTGATGGAGCAGCCAGACACAACACACCCCCCACTCCCCACCCCTTCCTGGAGTGTCTCAATATGTGGTGGCAATGCCACCACTCCTGTCACCCCCCTCCCCCCAGCCCAGGTGACAAATTAAAGTCCAGTATCCCTCCCCCACCATGCGTCCCTTCCTCCCTTGTGGGTTTTCTTGCCTCCTTCCTCTTGCATGAGCATTTCCTGCCCAGGGCTGGGTGGAGGAGAAGTGGCACCTAACAGTCACGGCCACCACTGGTGACAGGACACCGAGGATCCACCAGCCAGGCCAGGGGCTCCGGGAAGGGACATGTGAGTCCCTGAGGTACAGGAGGGAAGGCTGGTGGAGTGGGAGGTCTTGGGGACACCTGAAAGCTTGGGAAAGGGGGCGTGGGTGGAGTGTGACTAGGAGGTCTGGAGGGTGACTGGGAGGTCTGAGGGGCAACTGGAAGACCTGGGTGGACAACTAGGATGTCTGGGGTGGAAAGCGGGAGGTTTGAGGAGGGCAAATAGGTGATGTGGTGGTCCACTGGGAGATCGGGGGGGGGCGGGGGCAACTGGGAGGGCTGGGAAATGTTAAGTTGGTGGGAAAGAGCTGAGATGGTTTAAGGAAGAAGAGGAGGAGACCTCAGAGAGTGGGGAGAAGGAAGGAGGGGTGGTGGGATGGATGAGAAAGGGGAGGGGGCCCCTAGGGGTGGTGGAGGAAGGGATGGATGGAGGGATGGACAGCAGGAGGGATGGACGGAGGGAGACCTGCATTTCCTTCGGAGGATTCTGTGTCCCACTCTCCCCACAGCCCCCCTACCCACCACCACGATGTCCTCATCCCTTGCCAATGCCTCATCCCCCCCCAACACCACAGCTGCCTCCGTCCCCGGCGCAGCGGTGGGGCTGACCCTGCTGTCGGTGGCATTGGCGGTGGGGCTGCCGGGCAATGCCATGGTCCTCTGGAGCTTCGCCATCACCCGCCGTCGCAGTGTCCCCGTCCTCCTCATCTTCCACTTGGCCTTGGCCGATGTGGTCACCCTCCTCACTGGTCCCGTCTACCTCCAGGCCTTGAGTGTTGGCCAATGGGACATGGGCTTGGCCGTCTGCCGTGGGTGTCACTACCTCGCTGCCACTGCCATGTATGTCAGCATCTTCCTCATCGCTCTTCTGGGTCTCCATCGGTGCTTGGCAGTCTCCAGGCCAGTGATGACGGTGGTGACGGCGGGTGGTCGTGCCGGACGGTTGGCTCACGGAGCAGCTGCGGTGACTTGGTTGGTTGCTTTGGTGTTGGCCATCCCATCCATCGTCTTCCGAAGGGTGAAGGATGGGCACTGCCAGCGGGTGCACAGCACGGAGGCTTGGTTGGTGGTCCACAATCTTCTGGAGACCATCTTGGGTTGGGCTCTACCATTGACTGCTGTAGCCATTGGCTACGGGTTACTGGTCCACCGGTTACGCCAGACCCGCTTGGCCAGGCGCGGTCGTACCTTCCGGCTGGTGGCTGCTGTGGTGGTGGCCTTTGCCATTGCATGGGGCCCTTACCATCTCGCCAGCTTGTTGGAGGTGGCAATGGTCCTACAAGGAGGGGGTGGGACTTTGAAGGCGGCCGCCAAGGCCACTCGGCCACCGGCCACTGCCTTGGCCTTCCTCAGCAGTGCCATGAACCCCCTCCTCTATGCCTGCGCTGGGCGGGGGCTGCGCCGTGGTGCCGGGGGGTCTCTCCTGCCCCGGCTCCTGGAGATCTCAGCCATCACTGGCAGCTCCCGAGGGACCTC